ACCGGCACATTTGTGTCTGTTCCCACCGAGCTGGTGAGATGATTGTTTTTTTTCTTCTGATGGTCGCCAGGATCTACATATCTTTTGGAGCTCCTAGTCAATTCCACCACCTTGTTGCTCGGAGAGCCCTCCTCATCACAGCTGGAAGGTTTGGTTGACCTCCGCTTTTTGCAGAGTTGCATCAAGTGCAAAGGCGGTCATCTTGGAATTGTTTTAATTGAAATACTTCAAGATTCAATTATCCATGAGAGTATCCAGGCTCCGCCCGGAGGGCCATTACCTTGGAATTTCAAATTTGCGGACCCCGCAAATTGGAAGCAAATCAAGTGGCCAAACAATCCAAAGAAGGCAAATTTTGAAGTCATCTGATCGTTGGGATTCTACCCTCGGGATTCTGATGTACCACATTGGGTAATTCAGATTCCTAAAATTCTCCGGGTGTGGCCCTGCCGGGCGGAGCCTGGATACGCCCCTTTATGAGTCGAGAGCATTTATTCTGCCCGGGCGGGACGATTCAATGTATATGCAACGACCCAGGTTCCAACGTCTCCTGCAAACCCAAGGAATAAACAATAGAACCACACCTAACCCGGGACCCAGTATCGAAGGGGTGGAAATGGGTGGAATCTGCCAAGGTGGAATGTGGTGAAAGTTGGTGGTCTGTAATGGACACCGATGTGGCACGCGCTGGCTACACCGAGGCATGCCGGAATGCGATCAATCAACCACCAAAGGGTGGATTTACAGCCGCAGAAAAGTCAAGAGGGTGGGAGGTTTAGAAATGCTGTCCACCCTGCGGGCCCGCGCCGTTAACAACGAGAACGAAGTCACGAAAGAAATGTGCTGAATCCCACCACAAAAAAAAAGCAGAGAAGAAGCGGCACACAAAAGGGGGTGGCTGTACAAGCGGGAACCCCATCATTAGACAGAAAAGGAAAGAATCTCCTTTTTGAGAAGGAGATCACTATCAATTGCAATCTACTAGAACCCAGATACTTACATATCCAGGCATTCAGATTAAGGAGGTTACAGAAGAGGAAGCTTGTCCAATGTAGCTTCTAGTGCAAAGTTTGGTTACTCAATAGGTTTCAATTTTCAGACACAGAAGATTGAGGTGTATCATCATTTATTGCACAATGTACGGGCCTTGACTAAATGGTGGTTTGCAAAAACCAGTAAACTAAATAAAGCCATACACACCGGGAACTGAACCAAAAACCTAATGGTATTGCCACAGAAGTAGCAATAAGATACCAAACCCGTGAGCCAAGGAGATTAATTCATTGCCTTCCAACTGGTGTGTCTAGGAGCAAATAGTTATCTCGATGTATGCAATCTTGTGATCACGTGGACCCAGAATCCATCCTGGGTAGGACCCTTGTTTATTGCTTGATAGGTCGAATACAAGGTTCGGATAAAATTTTGAATCTGGGGCTCTGAAGTTGGAGGAAAGTTTGGACAAAAGTGGGGGTCTCAAGTGGCGGGTCGAAGGCAAGTTCAGATGAGGAGGTTTCTTTTTGGCATCTCGAAGCTGGACAGCAGCAAATTTTCAAGATTTCCCTCATCGCGGGTGGTTGAAATGGACGAACTGGTGCCATGTAAGGCCGCTGAACGATTTGGAAGCCCCGCGGGGACTTTTTTCAACAAAAAACCGCTGATAAATTGAAAAATTTCAGGTCGAAGGCAAAGTTCAGATAATTTTTTGGAATCAAAAGCTTGACTGGAAGCAGAATTCGGATAAAACTTTGGCAGCGGCCATGAGCGAAAGTTTGGATAAAATTTAAAATGCCCTAAATCGGTGTGTCAGACCTGTCAAGTGATAAACAAGGGTCCTTCCTGAGTCCATGTGATCATTTATACCTGAATAGAACTAATACACTGAAGTACTATCAAACCAAAGTCAGAATATAAAATGGATTCAAGTTAATATCAACATACTTGAGTTCAATGAGTAACACCCTCTTGAAGATAAATCACACTGAAATATTGATGTTGTATGAACTTGTAATGGAGTTGAAAGATCTTCAACACCAACATACCTGGATTTAATTGGCAATAGTTTTGGCCTCTCAAGGACATAATGACATGTGTTGAAGATATCAGACGAAACATTGAAGTTGTATCAAACCACTGTTGTGAGCTGTCACTTTGTGATGCACTCCGAACGTAGCCAAACCGGAGGAAAAACAAGCTTCCACGATTACAACTCCGTGTCCAAGAATATGACAACTACCGCACCTCCGAATAAAAAAGACTCACACCATTCCACAAGGCCAGACCCCGAATCGAACGTAGACCTTGCGAGGAAACATTGCAGGCTCTGTATTCGTCTCGCATGTGTTACCACTTCACCACCTGGCCGTGATTATGGATGGAGAGCCTCAACAAACAGACAAAACCGATACGGACCTGAATTAAAAAAGCTCATTGGACTAAGCGAACACCAGACTCCGAATCGAAGGAAGAACTTGCAGGTAAATATTGTTGAGCGGGGACTCGTCCTGCGTGCGTTGCCACTATGCCACCTGGCCGTGATTAGGGATGAGAAAGCCTCGATAAACGGACAAAAGTGATACGGACCTGGATTAAAAAAACTCATTGGGTTAAACGAACGACCAGACTCTGAATCGAACGGAGAACTCGTGAAGAGCCAATCTATGTGGCCATCCATTTCACGTGTGTTAACTGTTACACCACCAGGCCATGGCTTCATGATTCCGAATCCAAAAGAAACACGGATCCCGTTTCAAAAGAAAAACCCGACTTTCGCACCCAAGGCCAGAGCCGAATCAAATGAGGAACTCGCAAATGAAAACTTGGGAGATTCAAGTTGATTGCGCATGTTACCATTGCACCACCCAGCCGTGATTCAAATAGCAAAACCGGGAGTCAACTCATAAAAAGTAGAGACTTTGTGGGAAGGGCTGAACCCCGAGTCAACTGGGGGTCCTGCGGCGAGTAGGTCATGAAGCTATTCTCAGTTCAACCGCGAGTGCTACCGACTGCACCATTCGACTGTGATTCGGGAATGCACTTGCTCACCTATAATTCGGACTCCGGGAAGCGGAAGCACAGTTAAATTCAATACGGAGTCGGACCGACGGCGGGCCGGCATACAGAGTGGGCTCTTGGGAAACGGGGTGACCAAACAAGAAACGGAGATGGTACGAGGCAAGTCCAAATCGACTGTCAGCCCCTTCAAACATAAGGAGCGCATGGAGATTGACACAGCGAGTCAGAATGGAAACGGAGGAGGGCTCCGTTTCCTAAACAAGGAGTTATTACACACGTGAGTATCAGACGGAGAACGGTATAAAAGCCAGCTGTATGATACGGAATAAAGATCTTATTACCTCCCACTGCATATACCTAAAGCTACTCCCCCTGAAGTACACCAGGGTGGAGATTTAAATTGAATACATTCCGCTACGGGTCGTGCCGCCCAATAGTAGGACAAACCAAGGTCACCTAAAGGCCAGGGCTTGTCAAGAAACCCCATCCGTCTCACCTCCGTTTCGATAAACCGATACAGAGGAAATATAGTCAATCCGGAGTTGAAAGCGCACGGTAGCAGATTACATGGCACACCACCAAACGGCCAGTAGCCTAACTTGGCTTCGTGCAACCGTTCTTATTCGGAGTTCAAATGCATACCCTTGCAAGGAACCCACCCCATCGTATACGGAAGGCCTATCCTACACGATCATACCATTTCCCCCATTTATTTCGCACACTTCACCTCCGAGTCTTCGAAACGGAAGTAACTCTGTTTCAAGGTGTTCACCAACGGAGAAACCAGGCTATGAAGGGAATCACTATAGCCATCCGCATAGTGTTACACTTTACTGAAGAGACCTGCCGTCCGATACACTCGAGACGGGTGGATAAAGTATAACAGATAACCCGAGTACTCCGGAACGGAACAGCATTCGCATTGTGGAGCAAACCCTTCGAGCAAGTGTAGAAAACTATCCATCCGCGGTCCATTTGGAAGGCCAGCCCTCAGCAAAGAACTAAATCTTCGAGGAACCTGGCAAAGTGTTCACTCCATATGGAGAGGACTGTACACACACACACCACAATTATATATACCGCGCATTAGCGTACCTTAAAAACTACGCGGCTCCGTGACAGAGCAATTTCCTCCTAGAGGACGAATTAAATTCTGCAAACACTACTTGACTATACCCACCCCAGGTCAGGCAGTTCGCAGAACCGTAGTCCGCATCACACCATTTAAATTACATTATTATCAAAAAGAAAATGAATGCAGATGTACCTAAAGTCAAATTGGCATAGGTTCAGACTTCCGGGACATAGTAGCGTGACTTGAGCACATTTTGAAGTGATTCAACAACTTAAATTGGGCATAATTGATTGCAGTTAAGTGTGCACCGGGCGTTAGCCTTGGAAGAGTCCACCAGTTCCACTTGGGTGCTGGTATACTCCTTCCAAAGTAAGACATGCTTGGCGACAGAAGGCAGAGCAGAGTCTGATGGCGCCTTCGACTCCAGAACTGGAGTCAGGAGCTTAAGGGTGGTGACGTTGCAAGTCTTCAGGATGTTGGTGATAGCCCTGGCGGTCTTGTGGAAATCGTAGAAGGCAGTCTCGGAGATGAAGAGAGGCACGAACGGGGCCAGGGTGTCCCTGTTCGCGAGTTTCTGAGCCTTCGAAGGATCAGCAACTGAAATACGAAGTTAGATTTTCGGCAAGAGTACTGGAGGATCGATTTCGCGTACCGATGTCCTCTTTCAGCAACCTACGGTCGAGTTGGTCCTTGAGGTTCCAAAAGGGAAGAGCGGAGAACTCGCATCCGATGTGAAGCGTGATAGTGCACTCCTTGCAAGGGATACCCATGCGAAGGGCAGTACAGGCGCGGTTCACCACGACGCAGTTACTACATGCGGAAAGTGGTTTAAAATGCCATGTCAGAGCGCTGAAGTGCAGAAGAAGGATCTAATAAACGCACCTTGCGATCTTTCAGCATAAGCTCGACAGAAAGGGTGATTTCGGGTGTCAAAGACGAGGGACGTTTGAGGGTGGAAGGGCCGGAGTGGACTTGATCCATTTTTGGTACTTGCGGATTCGGAACAAGAGTTGTGAGACTCAAAGTCTGAAGTATGTGCTTCTAATGTATCAAGTCACAAGGGGGTTTTCTACACACCTTCTTTGCTTCCTTTCGGCAGTTTACCTGCATTCTACCCTGCTACCTTCGTCTCCCTCTCATCTCTCCCTCTCCCTCCTTTTTCATGGGCTGGTGCTCCAAGCACGAGTTGAGTTTTGTTCCCCGCTACAATCCCCTATAGGGTATGTTGCATTAGTCTCTCTTGACAGACGTTCCATCAAACCTAGCTCGTAATAATGTTGCATTGGTTGATATAACTGTTCAGTTATGCCATGGCTTACAAACACCAGTTCCCATCCGGCAATTTCTATCTTTGACGAGTTCCAACTGTCCGAGGCCTTTGACACGAACATGCCAACTCCATGCCGCAGCTCTAAACTTGAACAATGGCGGGGTGTTTCGCACCCCACCACCTCCCTTGATTGGTTGCCTCGCAGTACAGCTATTTCTGTGATTTCTCTCCCATGAGGAACCCATGACTGGAAACAGGAATGATTGCGGCGGAAACGGGTATGGTTCATTCAAGGCCAATGCTCGATGCAGGTCAGTATGCTGTGCTGAGCTGCCACAGTGAAGTATCAAAAGTCTGTGTCATTTTAGGTGACTTTATGCTGTTATGGCATCCAGTGGCCGAAGAGCAGAGTTCACGCAGCCTAAAAGGCTTTGGACAGATGAACACTCAGTTATGACTTCCCATCAAGGTCCAGGGCCCACGATTCGATGCTTCCTCCTATTTTCAACCTGACAGATGAACTGCCCAACAACTGTTGAGAACTTGAACTTCTTTCTTCCCACCGCCGTTTGGAGGGCCTTCAGAGCAGAAGTTTCCATGCGGAGGTCATCTCTCTCTTTGGAAATTCTCTGACTCAATAGCACTTTACACATTTCAATTAAACATACTGATCCCGCCACCAAATGAATCAGCAACCATGCTGACTTCAACCCAAACAAAGGTCTCGAATACTGTTCTTAGCCATGGCTTCCATTCAATCACGCTGTTAATTCCATAACATCGGCCCCAATCACAATTGAGGACCTGTTTCCATCGGGATTTTAACAATCTGCGCGTGAGCTCGCGTACGCGCTCGCACGCGCGCGTACGCGAGCCCACAAGACGTCAAAGATCGCGCGTGGGCGCGATCACGAGCTATGTCCAAAATCTCACGCGACCCCCTTACGCGGGTCTACGCGAGCCACGCGAGCACAGCTTTGATTGAAACGCCAGCCGATCCGAATAGTTCAAGGCTTAAAATTTGTTGAATGGACTCCAGGCAACACAGTGGCAGTCATAAATTAGCTGAATGTGAGGGTGCGGTATGTAGAAAGCCCATATAAAATTTCAGAATCCATCAAAAGCTCGCGTACTCTCGCGGACGCGAGCTACGCGACATCACAAGATCAAAAGATGGCGCGTAAATTGTGCTTTTGCTGATGTCCTCCCACGACTATTTTCAACCTTGCCAATCAATTGCTCACACACACACAGCAGCTGTTCAAAAGACAGGTGCCCTGAAGTTGACATCTCTCTCTTACTTCCTGCCCCCGGCCCTTACCTCAGTGACTAGCATGCCCCGCCAACCAACTGTAAATAGAGTCCATTTGAACAACATCTCCAAGTGTGTGGCCACCACAGCCAACACTCTGGATGTCCTTGTGGACACTCTCAATATTTCTGGCCTTGAAGCTATTTCAAATACCACTCAGTCCCTTCTAGAATTAGTGCAGGTACATTCCCCCTGAATCAGTATTGCAGCACACTCTGAATTGGGGACTTACTTAGGCTGTTAAACAAAACAAGGATGAGTGTGCCGAATTGATGGGACAAACTCATGAGTTGCTCAAGGCAATTATCAGGGTATATATCAAGTCAGATACTGGTCCTGAGTTGCCACCCAGTATATTGAAGGAAATCACAAAATTCACTGAGTACCTCTCTCTTCTCGAACCTACTTACATTCACTGAAGATATTTAGGACCCTCCACAAAATTCATACCTTTGTTGAGGCTCAACAAAGTGACAGTAAAATCAAGAGGTTTTGCGCCAGGGAGAACTCAGTGTGCTGCTCAAGGATTGCAAGACAGGATTGCAACAGGGATTTGACTTCTTCCAGGTAAGTACTCACATTCACATTATATGGCAACTAACGGTGGCAAAGATCAAAACTGTGGACATTATGAGCAATGTAAAGGAGATGCAAGACCAGGCTCAGCTCAAACACCAGGAGGTACTCGACATTCTTGAAGCAATGTCTAGTTCAGATTCAGCTTCTTCTGTATGTGGGCATATTCTTCAAGAGTATCAACTGACAGCCGGGCAGATTAGCAAGATGTACTCTGGCTCATTTGCAAGGTGCTTAATTCCAATAACACCATTTCTTCCTGGTGCTCATAATACTGTAGCTCCAACTCCATTTCAATGCTACCAGCAGAGCCAAAAATATTCCATGGCCGTGACTCAGAGCTTGCCGATATCCTCAAGCTTTTCAGCCAGGGTACTCCAAGAATTGCTATTTTAGGTGCGGGCGGCATGGGAAAGACCTGCCTAGCACGGATTGTACTACACCATGAGGAGATCACC